TATTAGGTGGCTTATTAAAAACTATATAATTAGAGTATTTTAGTATTTTATTTCATTCGTTCATTTTCTTAAAATCAGACTTAACTCATTCACATTAAAGTCTTTTCCTTTCTCTCTCTTTTTCTTTCGGCAGTATTGAAATTAAGGAATGAGTCTTACAGTCGAAGGAATATAGATATTATTTTCTGTAAAACAGCAGACACTTCAATAATCTGTTTAAAGATAATTTTCGTTGGAGGAAATTTAAGGCCATGTAGTTTTGTTATGCTACCACAAAGTATTTCCCAAATTTCTCAAGGAAAGAATGTTTTCCAATTATTTAAAAATTTATCTAGCGGTAAATTAGGTAAATGACTTTAAGAAATCCAGATGTTTTCAAACATTTTGACTTAACCGGAATTTTCATATTGGGATAATTTAATTTCCTGTGAAGCACGTTGCATTATCTCCCTAAGAGCTGAGATACCTTTATGAAGAATTTTTGAACTGTTAGGTTAGAGTATTTGAATATGGCAAAACTATTCGTCTAAGGAAAAACATGTTTCCGTGGAGGACATTTTAGAGGAAATTAATTCATATTCACGTTCTATATGAAAAAAACCACGAAAACTAATCATCAGTTAGCCCGTTCGTCTGGGATCGAACTCTCAATATTCATTCTCATAGTCTTTAAACATTCGACTGCTGTTGAGGTACTTAAGAGATTTTTTTATTTAGATTAAAGTACTTCATATCCCCCTAAGGGAAGGGATGCCTTGCATTAGGCGATTCTTTAAGGAAAACTTCCTTATATTTGTATCACTCACGGAAAAATGTCGGAATCTCCAAAATGCGGTTTAAATAGATAGACCATTTATATGAATCTGAGCCCGTATTAAATAACCAGTGTTTAGTACTTTTTCCGCTCAGCCGCTTGTGGGCCAAGGAAAACAGGCTGGTATTCACATTACGCATGGAGGAAATTAGGAAAAATTTTATGTTACCATGACACTTCCCCCATAATCTGAAACCTGAAGTAACTACCAGTATTTAGGAATCGTATCGCTTGGCGGCTGGCAGACACCAGAATATTCAGATGTGCTGAACAAATATCACTTTGAGGACACATTCAGAAAAAAGTCAACAATGTGTCTTAAAAGATTTAAATTTTTACAAGCAAATGTTTTGAAAATGTATCTTAATATACATGGAGTTTTTTATTCTACCAAACATTTCGCTCTTCTGATGCAAATTTAACATTAAAAATCTTAAAAAACTTCGAAAGAGTTATATTTCTCTTAAAAGTGTTGATAACTCATATTTCACATTTCCTAAAAATTTCTTCTTATGAAAATGAAAAACTTCAACCTTTGACGTCAGATATAAAATAACTTTCCTCTGAACGAGCAGTAAGTACGGTTACTAAGCAGTACGAGCAGTTTACTGTGATAAGAAAGCCATTTTGCCATCTGAATCGTTTTCGTCGAAATATCAAGACGAAAGAATTATGTTATTATCCTATAGAATTACCTCTGTCTTGTGTATTGGGGGAGAATTTTAAGCTGCGGAGAACTGTGAAATCAGTGGGGAAGGCTGGATGAAAACTGTAATTACTTCAACACTCTTTAATAAGCGGTTACTTAACCTTACTTATCTACTTCCCCTAGTACTAAATTTCCTTATGAATACTTAGAAGAAATATTTAAATGTTTTCTTCATATGTAATGCAAATTTAAAGTTAAGATTTAAAAAAATTTGCTTTCTCTGAAAATAATTAAGTCTCATAAAATTAAAATGCATTATATATAAGAGATTTAGTGTGAAACATGAATAATAGATCTTTCCGAAAAGCATGTGAGGTACTGTTTAAAAGTAAAGTTCCATTACATTTTACAATATATTAAGTTTACTAAAACGAAAACTTCAGAGTTCGTATGAAATGTTTAAATATACACTTTCAATAGGAAATTCATATACGTTAATATCGCCTTTGAAGAAACATCACAGACTGCCCTCTTTCATTGAATAATAAATGAGATTATTAAAAGAACAGCAATTTTTTATAGAAATTTGTATATAAACAAGTCATTGTTGTGTTAGATACATTTTTTAAATAACATCTGTCTTATGAATTTTTCTCGTTCTGAAACTTATTATAAATTATTATCAAAAAATTAAATTCATCATGAGAGAATCCTCATATATTTTTATAAAATGTTATCAGACTTCTTGTTGCTTTGCAACAGCTGTCTTCAAAATTTGTGGACTCATGGAATCCTTAGAATTATAAGGTTTTTTTTGGGGGGGGCGGAGGGAATACCCTCCCACCCTTAGAATAATATATTTTAAAATAATATTTAAAATAGATCAATATGTTATAGGTACTTTATGTAAAAAAATTGCAACAAAATTAACACAAAATTAATATAATTCACTCATTAATAGCACTGACTCGTATTCCTAGTGCCACCTACCCTTATATTATATTTAGTGACAAAGTGCGTTTGCATTGTTTTACAGAAACTGCCAAAGCCTACCTATATTGATGCTATCTGCATTCGCATTTCATTTTCTGCATTTAATTTGCTTCTATATTTTGTTTTTGTTGCCACATTCATTAAGAAAGATTTTTTTATTTAAATTCGGTACTTTGAAGGGTATTAAAATGTTCATAGCTGTGTGAAAAGCTTCTAATTATTCTGCATAAATCTACAACATAAATTTAGGAGTTGCTCTTGCTTAAATTTAGATTTTAAAATAGAATCTGTTGATATGTTGATTCCTGTATTGGAAGACCTTTTGATTTATCGTAGTTGTTGAACGGATTTTTTACCCAGTTCATTTTTTTTCTTTTGGAAAAAAAATCTCATTTTAATTTTATTTCAAATTTCGTTTCTGGGAAATATTCTTTTACAGTTTTCTTCAATTGAAAAAGATACTTCATTGTATAATTTTGTACAATCTAAATTCTATTCATTTTCTATTAGAAATTTGTCTAGTTTTGCAATCCATTGGAAGTAATTTTCTTTGACGTATGATGACTACACATTAACATTTAAAATTTATCTATAACTAACTGCATTTTTAATTAACTATCACTAGTAAACTAATCTGAGTGCTTTACACTTTTCTTTTTGAGTTCTTATTTTGACTCACAGAAGCCTCAAGTGTGTTTCATGTAATACCACGTATAAAATTTTGAATAATATAAGTATGACACAATGCACCGTTTTCAAACACAGCATAGGTATAGACAGGAAACGTAACGTGAAGTGAAATGTGAATGAAATCCAGACGACGCAGTAAACTGAAACGCACCAAATACTGCGAAATGAATTCCTTGCAATTCCATGGTTTCCATGTTTGAATGCAATTTCATGATTAAATGTACTGAATAATATAATGTGTGATTTAATTTAGCATATGTAATAAAAGGTAACGTAAGATGAATAGTAAACGATTTATTACGTAACCATACCACGTATTCCATGTAATATATACTCTGCAATATAATCTACGTAATTCCGCCTTTAATGTATTGAATAATATAACGTATGATTTAATGAATTGTATTCTTATATAAAATAAGTATTAAAATGTACGGCAATCTGATAAGACTATGAAACCTAATATGCAACTATGTAATGTATTCTATATATTATAGACTGTGTAATATACTCCATGGGATGCCATGTATAGTGAATTGAATGGTATAATGTATTGTATCCTAACATAACAAAAGAATTAAACAATATATCAGGTTAAATTGTAAATCATATATTTGCCTTATATGAAACCGTGTACAGAGTGGTGAATAATTTAGAGTATGGCATAGAGTACTAAACACTATGTAACGTATTCAATGTATTACAATAATGAAATTCAATGCTGAATTCCAGTAATGCATTATATAAAGCACTATGTAACTAGCAATATATATGTAGAGTACCATGTACTAAGTACCAGTAATGTACTGTGTAATTCGGTAATATAGTCCATGAGTTTCACGTATAATGTTTTGTATAAATTAACGTATCTAAAAACTGTATCTAAAAACACATGTATTGAAAGGAAAATCACCACATAACTATGAAAACTGAACACAGTAAAGCGAACACTATGTAACCCAATAATGTATTCCATTGGAAAGAGGGTCAGTTCGAAAACCTAGCAGGCACCGTACCACAATGTATTCCATTATTATATAAAGTACTAAGTAACTGGTACCATGTATGTAGTGTACAGTATACTATGTGCCAGTAATGTGCTATGTATTCCAGTAAGGCGCTCTATGTCAAAGACACGTATGTGAAAAGCGAACGTAGTAAAGTATAATGTATTATACATTATGCAATGTATACAACGTAATTACAAACATAGTGTATTGAATACTATAATGTATGATTTAATGTTTTGTATTCTGACATAATGTATGTGCTCTAATATAACAATCCCTAGTAATTCCACGTATAATGAACTATACAATATAATGTAGGGTGTATAGTACTACATCCTAGCATAACGCATGCATCGAAAGAAAAGTATAGAGTGTAATGTAAATGAAACTTCAGATACTACTATGAAACGCGAAATGTAACCTTTCACGAATAACTGCAATTATATCCAACGTAACATCACGAAATCGTAATTTAGCTAATTTAAATATCCTATGTAACCAACATCCTATGTAACTCAGATGACCTGTATCACTGAAAATTGTTACTCTGTAAGCTTCTTTTCTGCAATCGAAAAAAAAAAAATGCTCTGACAGTCTTCCATCCCACTGACCAGGCACAAAATCCGCTTAGTTAAGCCTTAGGTCGTTAGCTTGGCCAGTGGCTCCCCTCCCAGTATTGCAATATTTTAGATCTCATCATTGGGCAGATTTGCAATCGGTTATTCGGCATCGCATCTTAACATCTATTTATATCAAAATCTATTACAAACAATCATTTTGTAAGCTAATCTCATTATGTTTGCAAAAAATGACACATTTCGCTTTTAAAATTAAATTTACTTACCTGAATTTGCTTTTAACACAGACGCGCACGCAAGGATTACTATAATGTTGATGGCCGTTACAGTGCACATTCTCACCTACTTTAAGCTCCTTCTAGGACAAATGATTATCAAAAAGAACTCGTTGCTTTAGCGCAAATTTAAAAATTTTTAGGATTGTCCCTAGAAACTCAAGGCAGATTTTGACGACTCAAGAGCAATAGCAATTCTTGCTACGCGAGCGATAATTTTAAGTTGAGATCCAGTCCCCTTATTATTTAAATAGAGGCGTGGTTTTCTGTATTTCCTATGCGTACACGCCACGTACACATTGTGAAGACCTGACTGTAATTGACATTTTCCATATGTCACCTTTATACTGGTTATTGAATAAGGAGGAGCTTAGATAGTGTACATGAGTTTAGATAGTGTCCCTAATATCATGATCGATGAATAATGGATAATCAACAGTAATAACACCTGTGTCAAAGACAAGGCAGATGCAATTCTGAAAGGTTTAGAATCCAAAATTGTCGCAGCTCATGTCTAATATAGAAAACTATGACAGCTGAGTATTGTATTAAGTGGAACACATTATGTGAACATATTGTATACGCAGTGAAGAATTATTAGACATTTTTTTTACCCAAACAAATGTCCATATGTTCTGTTGATGATGGAACACATGACAATGAAACAATGTTCATTGTGCTGCTTTTAGTTTTCTGCATATGCGACGTCACAGTGTGTTCATGGGAAAGATCAATGAATTGTTTATAAAATTTGTAGATTTAATTGAAATACTCGGTGCTATTGAATTACTCGGGAAAAAAACGGAATAATCTCTATAAACATCTGCATTTAAAAAATTATTGCAACAAAATTTAAGAAATGTAATTAATATTATTCACACACAAGCTTCTAAGATCTTTGATTTTCTTTACGAGATTAGACACTGAAATACTTTTTTTTAATTACTGCTGCTCAACAACAAGTTTAAATGAAAATTTTAACTAATAGGAAATAAGTTTCTCCCAAGAGTATTAAGGTCTATTTTAAGGAGATCGCCTGTATATATATAAAATATATCTGTTTTTAATATACGTTTTTCGCGTTCAAAATAATTTATGAATTTTTAAACATCTTTAAGATGCATGTAACTGATGCAGAAATAGCCAGATATATATAAACGTCTCTGAGGCAGATGATTTCAAAAATTCCTAGCCAATGCAAAAGTACTATGACCTAGTGCGTTTATTGGTTATAACTGAAGAAGGTAGCACATAATAATCTTATGTACATAATTTTGCATGCTACGGGTTCGTGGAGATCTCTTTAAACAATTCCTTCAGGTGACGAAATAGGAACTAATAGCAATTTGTGTACATAACATTGCACAGCAAAAATAATATATGCAAATAAGCCTTGCCTGCCCTTCTAAAATAAGTATAACAATTAAGTGGCTATTTCTAGTTAACCAACTATTTAAATGTAATTCTCACCCGTCGGTATAACCTGAACGTTATGATGCGAGTTACCGCTGGTAGCTTAATGAAACTTTGAAAACTCAAATAGATAAACAGTTAAAATTAAACTTAACTTTATTTAGATTGCCATTTATGAGAAGTAAAGAAGATCAGCGTCTTGCAGTCTTTCATTTGTTCTATATCATACTTGTAAATTATACTTTCAGTACCTAAGAATAACTAAAATCTTATATCTTTTTTTTTTTTTTTTTTTTTTTTTGTAAGAAATTTTGCTTACCTTAATGTAATCCAGAACTTTTATTAAATAATCAACTGAACAGCTAAAGTATTTTTTGTCATTTATTTATCACACGGAAAGAAAATCTTACATTATTACAATTTATTAGCTTACATTAGAATACTTCGTCATGTTCCTGTTGTGCGAAGACATTTTATCAGTATCCATAAATTTGAAAGAAAAAGAATAAACATAAAAAATTAATCAGAAAGCTGCGCCCTATGATGACCTGCTATATGAAACTGCAACATCCTCCCCAACGATGAACTCTTGGTTCATCAAAGGTTTGGACTAAATAGCGTTCTGAAAGTTAAATATTCATGGTTTCATTGTTCATCAAACTCACTGCTTTCATTTCTTTTCAGTCATTTTAAATGGTACAATAATTGTACAGGAACTGAAGACCATTAGCTAAGCGGATGGCACAAGCTATCCGCTATCATTCTATCTTGTCCTGGATAATATTCATGTACAACTCCTATCTTCCATAATAATGTTGGTAATTTTCCTTCTTGTGCTAGAACTAGAGATCCCTTTAAAATATCTGTAGTAGCACTACCTCTCTGAACCTGCCCTACATTTCTAATTTCAAGTAAACATTCTTTTTTCTATCTTTTCCAAAAAAAACCCTTCTAATTAATAATCTTAGCCGATGTTCATATCGCTTTGTTAATTTTTCTTAGTTGAATCTAGTTTAAGAATTTTGCCAAATGGCAAAGATGTCCATCTTTACCCAACTAGAAAATGACCTGGTGTCATCGATTCTAGTTCACTATAAACATAGATCAAAGGTCTTGAATTTAATATTGCCTCAGTATTAATTAAAACTGTTTTAGCTCTTCAAATTTAAGTGAGATTTTGATGAGTATTATCTTCAAACATGGCATGATAGTTCTAACTAGACTTTCCCAGGAACTGCTCCATTAGGCGGCTTTCTCAGCATTAAACTTCCACCCAATACCTCTAATACCAAAATAATTTTGAACTCCTGGGCCCTTAATGATATTCCATAATTTTTGTAAATCCTCATCTGCTTTCTGAGAGTTTTTGCAAGGTCTGAATATAAAAGTCCTCATACTTATCTTCTTGAATAAATCTTTTAAAGGAGAAGAAAAAAATTGCTGATAGTCTAGACACCAGTTCCAAGGGCACTGTTCTTGTTACAGCACATGTATATACAGTGATATACGCATTTCCAATTCCATCCTTTATTATCAAAGCACCAAAAAAAAAAAAAAAAAATGGATACCAAAACTTTGAAGGGGTTTGTCTCTGTTATTTTTTCACTTGGTAAAGGAGCGATAGCTTGACTTAATGGCTTAATTATTTAGCCATATTGGCTAATACTCTGTTTGAATGCATGGTTATTAGGCCAAACTTGGTAATTAAAAATGTTTTCTTTATTTCATGCAATAATATATACTGAACTTGAACAGCTGCCTTTATTATGCACACTATTATGATTGCTGCATCAAGCTGCTACGAAAATGCTAAAAATCTGTTCTAAATACTGCAATACTGTTTCTTCTAGATACTGATATTCAGCTTAACATCAAACTGACACAAATCGAAATGTAAGAAATTATGTGTATTATCTCTGCCAAACTGGTAATAAATTTCTGTTTAACTTAACATATTGATACTTTATTCCAAAATAGAAATTGTTAATTCATTGAATTTCGCATGATCTTAGTATTTTCATACCTGAAATGACAAAAATAATGGCAGCTTAACCTCCGATAATCCTGAAAAATTATCTTTCTTCGTGGTTTGAGGTGGAGCTTTATAGTATGGTTTCTGATTTCAACGAATAACGTTTTGCACTTTATGGGAAAAGCTTTATGTGTAGATTTTCTCATAAAGTACAAACTTTGCTTCTAAATTTAAGAATTTAATTAATATCATGTATTTAGAGTAATAGCAATTAAGATACATTTTTTCTGAAGTGGTTAAGGGGTGCTATTGGGATTGTAATTATATCTGTTTAAATTTTCAATACGGAGCTCGATTGTTTAAAAATATAAGTGATTATTTTTAACCAATTAATATAAGAGCTAAATGTTATTTCTTCATATAACACTTTATTAATTATTATTATGGTAAATATAGTAGAATATTAAATGACAGAGTAACTAACATTCAGTTAACTTTTTCTGTTATATAGGAAACAGATCAAGATTATTGTTCAAAACTGATCTCTGGAATTTCCTTGAATATTTTTACAAGTTGATTTTTGCCTTATATAATGTAATTTTTTATTTGAATAATTTTAACTTTTCCCTTAATTTTACTGATAAAATCATCCAAAATAACATTTTGTTTTTGAGAAATCCATTTTTTAATTCAAATAATAGGCAGAGGGCTATTTGTTCTTTATCTTTTTCGTAATTATTTTAGGTAACCTTTAAATGCATATACAACGATACAACAAAAATATTTAATAAATTTAAATTAAATATATATGTTTATAGTTATTTTAATATAAATATTAATAAGATGATGGTAGTAATGAAGACTTTCAAGATGACAGTAATAAAGGTAAAGAAAATTTTCAGTTTAAATTCTCAGAATGTATTTGTATCAGTAACTGCTCCAGCTTTCTTTTTATTACTTCAAACTGCTGCTGTGTTCGAATATATTGCTTCTTTTTAAGTGATATATTCGAATTTACATTTAAAAAATATGTTACTACGAAAAGTTGCACTTTGAAAATTTCCTGTTCCGCTTTTACGGACTGTTAACTAAGGCTAACAGTCCTTTTTGAAATCATATCATTATATCAAGGGTTCCGAATGGAGGTCATTGAAATGCTAGGGGGTCAGTGATGATCCGGGCATTGATAGCCGAATATGCAGTGGCAATTAATCAACATAGTCAAGATTGAATTGATTCCAGACATGCACATGTATGCTAAATTTTAGACTTTAAAATTCATACAAGAGAAATATCCCCAAATAAAAGTTGTTACCGAACCAACATTGCGTTTTTTTCTCTTCTTACCTAGTACCTTCTTACCTAGTAAACAAGTAGACTTGAGTCAATTTAGTAATTTACAATGGGAAACAAGAAACAGGTTGAATATTTCTGATGGAGGTGATTTAAGAATTAGGCAGTTTTATGCCAAATTCAATGTTATAAAAATATTAAAAACAATGATATCAATACACAAATTACATTAATTAATCTTTGTGCAATTAAATTGAACTTCAAGTTAAAGTCTGTGATTTTGGTTTTCGAAAATTGCTTATATTCGTAAAATAAAAAATAATGCAAAAAAGTAATAAAACATAAATCCAATAAACCTTTCTTTTAAAGTTTTGTTAAAAAATTTAGTTTAGGTTCTTTACATGCAATTACTTGTATTTTGATTATGCTGCATTCCATATATAATACAGATAAATGTAAGGAGTTTGATAAAGGAAACCTTCTTCTAAAGTTCTTTTAAAAGGGTTTTTGCAAGCAAACGCTGGGGAACCCATGCTTTACATGATAAGCAAAATTTTCTATTACCTAGTATCTCTTTTTTTTAACCTTCACTAAGTTGTATTATACTTATTTTTAAATGTAATGTCATAT